CATTAAAAGTCCTCATAGTGATGCCTGCCTTACTGTACTTCTCCATAAGCCAACATTCAAGTCAGAAGCAAAGGAACACTCCCAGTGTTTGTTAAGGCATGTGACACAATGGGAACTGGGTATATGTTATGAATTCTTTCGTGAGGGTAGTGCGACTCAAGCCAAATTGCTAACAAACCTCAAAGGTCTAAATGACGCAAGGGAAGCCGATCCATCACTGTTAATGGATGACCGTCCTTCGTTTGTCAACCCTGTTATGTTTCAAACAGAATCTACCATTGCAAATGCAGCCCTAAAGACAAGGGGGTCTTGTGAGCCCTCTGGCTTAGATGCATATGGGTAGAGGAGAATCTTGGTGCTTGCCAATACCAGAGAAGAACTAAATAACACCATCCCACAGAAGCTCTGTGAGAAGATGAACCCAGAAAAACTGAGGGAAAACGACCTGGGAATGATGAAGGTTGCCTCGAGTTATTTTGCAATTATTTCAGTTAAAGTCAGTGAAGTTGGACCTGAACAAAATGGGATTTTACGATGTGTTCAGCCTTAGTTACCGCTGCACACCGAACATCTGAACATCTCTCATCTACATGTCCTTGTGGCAAGAGATTCGAGGTTGATCATGCAATGTCGCGTATGAAAGGCGGATTTGTCCATAAGAGACATGACAAGGTGCGAGGTTTGTTTGCACCTCTTCTCAAATATGTGTGTCATGATGTTTAAGTCAAGCCCCACCTTCAGACCGTGACAGGAGAAGTGTTAACCAGTAGCGCCAACTCCTCTGACAAAGCTCGTTTGGATGTAAGTGCGCGCAATGTTTTGGCAAAGGGGGCAACGTGTCTTTTTTGAAGTCAGGGTTTTTACTCTCACAAGAAGCAGATTGATTATAGCATTGCAAATCAATGGCTGAGATAAAAACTATCTTTTAACTTGTTAAGATCAGCAGTGTTATGTGTAAAAGGTTCCAAAACAACCAAATTTTAGTTGAGCCCTGATTTTAGCAGGGGAACAATCGCAAATGTGATTGGAAAGATATAGTAGACACGTGTTATTTGTAATTTTTTTTTCGTAAAGCACCGTGTAAAATATTTTTTACCCTTATGGGCTCTGGACATCTTTTCACAATAGATTTTTATAAATGAGTTTGTGATAACTTTTATCATGCCTTGTATATTTTGATCTTTTATTGGATGATGTTTTTTCAATAAAGTTGACTTTCACGACGGCATTCAACAACAGACCAATGATGGCTAGCTTTCTCACTTACAATAGAACAGATTCCTCTAACAGGTGTTGAAAAGTTTGTGTCAACGCCACTAAACAAAGTAAAGTTGGGAGTAGAACGACCCAACTTTGTCATAGAATCAATCATCACTTACTATAAGCCTAATCGGGTCTCGTAGTATAATACATTGTAGCAATGGTACCGGCTAATCGTTTTGTACGAAAGCCTTATTTGTGAGAACTGATTGGTTACTTTTGTCGTTTTTTCATTGGCTATAGGACTCCTTAAGCGAGCTGCATGGTCTTGATTTCATTAAAACATTCGATTGCTAATCAATTCTCATTGCACACTTTACTTATGCTTTTCCTTAGATTCTTTTTTTTACACGCAGTAAACATTCGAGATTCCTGACAAGACTGAGAAAAGTCTTGGTTGTTGAAATACATTTTCGATTCGTTTTCTTTTCAAGGTGAGAAAACAGCATAAACATATTATGTATTCAGCATATTATCGAGTTTACAAACATGGATTAACTTCAAGGAATTATCATCTTAGCAGAAACTCCTTCAGCATAATTGCGGTTTGATAGTTTTATCCCTTCAATCTCATCACTAAGTAACCCGCTGTTATCTTGTTTAAGTATCAGCGAGTTTAAACATGTTTTATCTCGGCACTGTGAGGTATGCAATCTGAATGGTAGATGGATAAAATGAAATCTGATCTCACTCATTGCTTTAAAAAATCAAGCCTGGAGAATTCTTTGTAATAAATCTCTTTCTCACGGCTTGGGAAAGCATATTATTTTTAGCGTTCATAAGATTGGAAGCAGAGGGAGAGACTAATGGCCAATTTTTTTTTCAGATTATCCGTCATCTCAATGTCATTGTTATGGCAAGTAAATTAATCTGGGATCGCTCAAATGACGCTTTATTTGGCTTATGGAAACAAGGTAGTGAAATGCATGGAATATTCATATTTATTAATTAATTATTCATTTGAGGGTACGTGTAAGTGACGCTGTGAATCGGCAGGAGACTATTCCCCAGTACGCACTGAGGCCAAGTTCGGAGCCGGAGATTTTCATGTATGAAATAGATGAATGACAGCATACTTGACGCCTTTCGCCCGGCGATGTCGGCGCACAGTCTATCTAAGTCGAATTGCTTAGAGATGTTTCTCGCGCGAAAATGAACACCAATTTGTTTTGTTTCTCTGTTTTCTTTTTGGGTAGACTTGAATGGAAAACACTCCAGAAATCATGAATGTTCTGATGACATATACTGGAGCACTTTCTGCTTTACCTACTAATGTACCGAGCATACTCGGCGCCTGTAATTCTATTAAAAGCAGTCTTAGATTCAAATAATTCCTCAAGGACTTTTGTGCGAAGATTGAACCTGCTATCTATATCACGCAGCCGGGATCGCCTGTTCCATTAAGATATTCGTGGCGCCTCTGAGTCCGTTTGCAACAGCGTGTCTTTTTTTTTATAAAAAAAAAATTCAGAACATGTTTGACGATCATAAATCGAACGTTGCCTATGAATTTGCTTAAAGCGTACTTCGTGGACCGCACCAAAGAATTCATTTACATGAGCAGGGTTGAAAAATTTAGCAGAAAAGTGATAAGAAGTTTGGGAAACGGTAAATCTAAAGCATTCATGTGATACTTTCGACATCATTTCAAAATTGCGTCAATGAATATGAGATTGCGACAAAACGGTCTATTCACTTGAAAGCATGTTGCACAAGTGTTAGTTTAGAAGAGAAAAGCAAAAAAAAAAAAAAAAAGGAAAAAAAGAAGACTACTCACAGGTTTCAATGTGGCAAGTTCAGCTTAGTTCATGACAGAAAAGTGACAAATCACCTTCTAATGCTTCGCACCAAGAAATCACTTTGTTCTTCAAGTCAAGTTTCCATTGTTTGATTTCGAAACTATTGGAAATTGTTTTGGTTTCTCCTTTGCTGTGCCTTACGATTGGCTTTTGAACCCACCTATATACTCCATTTATATGTAAGATTCCACGAAAAACCAAATTTGAATTAAAACACATACAGATACGACAAACATCAGAAGGACAAAGGAAAGAATAATAATAATAGTATTACAAAGTAGAAATAAAGGAAAAAGGAATAACAACCTTACGATATATTTCAGAAGTTTTAAGCATCGCAACTATGAAGCTGTTTTTATTTTTCAGCCTTATTACGGCGGCGGCGGTAAGAGTCAATTTGCATTTAAAAAACCGAATGAAAAACCAAACCCAAGGGCAAGTTCCTAATTTCCCAACTTTAAAGCTGGTCTTGTGCATTTAATTGGAATTCTCATCAGTCAACTCTGATATTACCCTTATCTTAATGGGCCGATGTAATGACATGTTTTCAGTGGTTTCACGATACCTCTTTTAAATGTCTACTAATTCACAGAGGTTAGAAACATTCACAGATCAAGTATTAGGTTGATTGGCTTCGTAACTACTTACTGTGGATCGATAACTCACCTAGAGAGGCTCAAACTAAGCGGGAGTCCCTCGAAGAAACAAAACACTATTGCCCCTTTGCTCGCACATTGGCTAAAAAGGTAGCGGAATGACTGCCACACAGAAAAGCGGTCATTATGGAACGGTACCCTTGAGAAAATTTCGTTCGAAAGCTTATGGATAGCAAAATCAACTTGCGAATTTAGTAATCTCAGTGATCACCGGTTAACTTTAGTGATATAAGATGAGATAAATTCAAGTCAGTAGTAGGAGGGATGATCACATCCTACATTTAGCAAAGATTAACGTTCTTTGTCCTGTCGACGAAAGCCAAAGAGTTCTTTATTATACATTACTTGTTATTATTAAGAAATACATTGAAAAATTCCGATAATTTTTGACGGTATGGAATCTCTTTCAATGGAGGGTTGTGCGTCTCCATAAATCCGGCGGTATTGCCGGATGGCCAACTCTTTAGGAATCTTACAGCTGACAGCTTAATTCAACGAAACGACGATTTTCTATCTTGGGTTCGACTGTAATCTCTTTGAACGTTTCTGTCCGTAATCTTCAAGGGTTTGAGAACACAGTGTTCTATTCCTTGACAACTTAGAAAATCAATAATATTTAAAAAACATTGTTCGCAGTTGTCAGCGGTAAATTCAGTTTACTAAAAGAACAAAAGGTGCATATTTGTGGATTTCCTCTCGGGAAATATTTCGCTACTGAGTTTAATACATATGATCTTCTTCACGCTCCTCACCTGATGAAGAACTTAGTCTGTAGCTTAGCTCACCCTAAACAGGTGTTTTGTAGTTTCGCGTTCCACAAATTTTAACTAAGTTATCGAGACTGTTAAGCAAATAGGCTTTAAAAAACATTGTTCGCAGTTGTCAGCGGTAAATTCAGTTTACTAAAAAAACAAAAGGTGCATATTTGTGGATTTCCTCTCGGGAAATATTTCGCTACTGAGTTTAATACATATGATCTTCTTCACGCTCCTCACCTGATGCCTCCGACCGACTGTTAATCTTAGCAGCCGTAAGGACGCTTTTCACATGTAAACTTAGTTTGTAGCTTAGCTCACCCTAAACAGGTGTTTTGTAGTTTCGTGTTCCACAAATTTTAACTAAGTTATCGAGACTGTTAAGCAAATAGGCTTCCATTCCACTTTCGATTCGTTTCTCTTTCTTTGTGTTTCTTTCCATTCATCAAGTAGGAATGAAATGTTTTTTTTCACGAACCACGATCTTGACAAATATGTCAAAATGATCTTTCTTTATTGTGACAATCGTTTTAGACGGCTGTTTCATAATATATTCTATGTTTCTCCGCTCTGGCTCTGACTGCGGCTTCGATTTCTGTGTTACGTGTGTTGTTTTTAAGGCGAAGTTTCTGAAATAAAACTTTTCTGTAGTTTTTGCTTTGAGCAGCGTAAAGAAGAGGGTTTACGAATGAGTTAGAAAATAACAAAAAACGAACGATTCTATGTGCCAGAAACAACGGTTTAAAACTTTGCTCTAAATGACTAGGGGCGAGCGCGGTGACATATAAAAAGAAGACAGCAAATGGAAGGCAGAGTAAGCAAAATGCCAAAGCTAACGAGATGAGAAGCTTTAATAGCCTTTTCATGTTCCGTTTGCTAGCGGGATCTTCATCCGGTTCACCTGCGCTTGACTTAAGTGCTGCGGAACTTGAAATATAGCAAAAGCAAAGAAAAATTGAAGGGAGCACAATTAGAGCGACAGAATGGCCAAGGATGTAAGCTTTGACGTTCCAAGTCTGGTTCTTAACTGTCCATGGACGCGTGCAGGGATACCGCCACGGCGTGTCTTCGTTATTGGGCTTCGTCCATAGCGTATCTGGAAAGCTTGAAAAAAAAGCTGTGACCCAAATAACAAGAATAATAAACTTTACATTCTTTTTCGTCAGAACCCAACGTTTGTTGAAAGGTTTGACAATACCAAGGTAGCGCTCCATTGCAATGGCACACAGAGTTAACACAGAGGCATCGAAAGAGACACAAACGATTGCATTTCCTGCAATAAACTTGCAAAAGATGTCACCCAGTGTCCCGGAGCCCAAATGAAACTTGTGTAGTGCAAAGTCGTAGAAACCCGGACAAAATAACAACGATAGAAAATCGGCTATAGCCAAGTTCATCAACAGATAGTTTGTTGTTGCGTGCATGGTTCGTGTTTTCCTTACAATGGTGATGATTATGCCATTTGCCGTGACGCCGAAGAACACAATGGAAGAGTACAACGTGGCAAAAACGACATCGTAAGTGGTGATAAGTGGAGAAGCGGTAATGTTGCTTCCGTTCATCCTGAAAATAAACTTGCGTTAGCTTCCTTTAACTAATCGTGACTCCTAACCAAATATTAAAAATTTCGTTCAGCATCCGTGTGTTTGAAATGTCTTTACTATACCTTGCGTTTAGTTCACAGCAGGGGTTCTTCGTGTTATGGTTATCGCGATAGTATTACCGACAACGCCGAAAACAGCAACGAACGTGTATAAAGTAGCTAAAACTGTAATGGTGCCACTGTCTGTTGATCGAAGTTCATTTGTGCTGTTATCTTTCATTTCTCTTGTCGTCTTCTTACTCGTAAGTGACAGGTGTTTACCATAAATAAGCTAATTTATCATAAGAATGGCATCTGAACTTTCTACATGACTGTTTAAAATTAATAAATAATTCCCTTCGTTTTCATGAAAGTATTTTGGGTACCTCGACTTAACGTTTGATTTTTAAGTGTCTTTTTCAAGAACTGATTGTGAAGTATGAGACTTGCAATCGCATTTTTACGGGGGAGAAACTTGTAAAACAAATATCGTTTCGTCCCGCTCTGACAGGTACTGTTCTGAGGCCTCCAAATTTTCAGTAAAATTTTCTGTCACATTAAAAGATTTACAACGAAATGCTGTCTTTAAAAAATACTGAAAATGTTCTACAATAACTTATTTTTGAGACGGCATTTATCAAATATCTCTCTCCATAATAATGAATGCGTGCTATTCAATTTCAGTTTCATGTGACAAAAATAGATTTTTAATTGCTTTCGTGGCTGTGTTGAACCGTTCATAAAAATGGCTGGTGATAGTTGGCAGAAGTTACACAATGAATACGTCTAATTTGTAAGAACACTTCCGTTGTCATGCTATTCAAATTTTTAGATATCTTTAAACACAAGAGTCCCTTAAGTGCGTTTCGAGCCAGTCGAAGGTTTTAATAAAACGCCTGGAGATAATCAGATACTAATCGCACAACGCAAATGCAATTGTTGTGATATTCTAATCTTTTCCAAAAAAAAGAGTTTTTTAATTTCTTTTCGAGATTTTTTGAACCATAACATCGACACGGTCGACGATAGCTGGTAAAAATCCATGTTTTAAATGCGAGTGTCGCGACCAAAGATCTGTGATGATGGTCGGAAGAATTATTCATATATCAGCTTGTCATATTTTGTGAGCCTGAGTCGAACGAAGAGCACCTGAATCTTATTTTGAATTCGAGTTGTTAGGGCAACAGTTTTACCTTGAAAGTTGTAATATGTCACCGACCTAGATGTCTGTTTCACCAAACGTTATTGTATCTCAAACTCACAGACGACTTTCTATATGTATTCAACTTAAGAAATTAGGAACCTTTTTAAGAGCGCAAAGTAAATTTTCTTTTCTTTCATTGAAGAAAGTTTGAAGTTAATGATCAAGTCGCTTATGTAACTTCGCTATGTTTGATACTGGTATTACGACAAAGGACAGCATTGCCTGGGACTCTGCTCAATTATTTACGTTACAGAAATAGCTGCAGAAAGCGATCTTCACCAGCAGAGTTGACCGCGCGAGTGCAGACTGTTCAGCAAGATTAAGCACAAGCGTTTGTCAATGTTACAGTAGGAAATATGGGAATATTATACTAAAGATGAAGTCCACCATAAGGTCGATGAGATATATGAGAAAATCGTATTCTGGAGAAGGAATTTATTCAAACTCCCGGGAAGAGCTGCGCGGGGAAAGAAATTTATCTCTGAAACAACAAAGTGGATCGAGTTTTGGAACTAAGATGCCATCGAGTTTAAAGATACTGCATTAAAAGTCCTCATAGTGATGCCTGCCTTACTTCTCCAGAAGTCAACATTCAAGTCAGAAGCAAAGGAACACTCCCAGTTTTATTTAAGGCATTTGACACAATGGGAACTTGGCATATGTTATGAATTCTTTCGTGAGGGTAATGCGACTCAAGCCAAATTGCTAACAAACCTCAAGGGTCCATACGAAGAGCAGTTAGCCAAAACCTTTGCTAAGCTTGTGCTTGAAGGAAAGATAAATACTGCTAAGAAACTCTTGGATCAACAGAGTAATAGAGGTGTATTCCCTCCATCCCAAAGCACCATAAATGAGCTTAAATGGAAACACCCAGACGCAAGGGAAGCCGATCCATCACTGTTAATGGATGACCATCCGCCGTTTGTCGACCCTGTTATGTTTGAAACAGAATCTACCATTGCAAATGCAGCCCTAAAGACAAGGGGGTCTAGTGGGCCCTCTGGCTTAGATGCATATGGGTAGAGGAGAATCTTGGTGCTTGCCAATACCAGAGAAGAACTAAATAACACCATCCTACAGAAGCTCTGTGAGAAGATGAACCCAGAAAAACTGAGGGAAAACGACCTGGGAATGATGAAGGGTGCCTCGAGTTATTTTGCAATGATTTCGGTTAAAGTCAGTGAAGTTGGACCTGAACAAAATGGGATTTTACGATGTGTTCAGCCTTAGTTACCGCTGCACACCGAACATCTGAACATCTCCCATCTACATGTCCATGTGGCAAGAGATTCGACGTTGATCATGCAATGTCGCGTATGAAAGGCGGATTTGTCCATAAGAGGCATGACAAGGTGCGAGGTTTGTTTGCACCTCTTCTCAAAGATGTATATATGTCATGATGTTGAAGTCAAGCCCCACCTTCAGACCCTGACAGGAGAAGTGTTAACCAGTAGCGCCAACTCCTCTGACAAAGCTCGTTTGGATGTAAGTGCGCGCAATTTTTTGGCAAAGTGTCTCTTTTGAAGTCAGGGTTTTTAACCCTTTCACAAAGAGCCACTTAAACCAGAAACTTGACACCACTCTCTCGAGCAATGAGAACGATAACAAAAAATATTACAACCAGCGAATCATTGAAGTCGCGCATGACTCCTTCAGTCCTCTCCTGCAGAGAAACCGAGCGAATTCTTTCCGAACTAGCCCTGAAGCTATCTGACAAGAAGCAGATTGATTATAGCATTGTAAATCAATGGCTGAGAGAGAAACTATCTTTTAACTTGTTAAGATCAGCAGTGTTATGTGTAAAGGTTCCAAAACAACCAAATTTTAGTTGAGCCCTGATTTTAGCAGGGAAGCAATCGCAAATGTGATTGGAAAGTAGACACGTGTTATTTGTAATTTTTTTTCGTAAAGCACCGTGTAAAATATTTTATATCCTTAGGGGCTCTGGACATCTTTTCACAATAGATTTTTATTAATGAGTGTGCGATAACTTTTATCACGCCTTGTATATTTTGATCTTTTATTGGATGATGTTTTTTCAATAAAGTTGACTTTCACGACGGCATTCAACAACAGACCAAGGATGGCTTGCTTTCTCACTTACAGATTCCTCTAAAAGGTGTTGAAAAATTTGTATCAACACCAGCAAAATCAATTTGGGAGTAGAACGATCCACCTTTCTCCTAGAATCAATCATCACTTACTATAAGCCTTATCGAGTCTCGTAGTATAATACATTGTAGCAATGGTACCGGCTAATCGCTTTGTACGAAAGCCTTATTTGTGAGAACAAGGTGAGAAAACAGTATAAACATATTATGTATTCAGCATATTATCGAGTTTTCAAACATGGATTAACTTCAAGGAATTATCATCTTAGCAGAAACTCCTTCAGCATAATTGCGGTTTTGATAGTTTTATCCCTTCAATCTCATCACTAAGTAACCCGCTGTTATCTTGTTTAAGTATTAGCGAGTTTAAAAATGATTTATCTCGGCACTATGAGGTATGCCGTCTGAACGGCAGATGCATAAAATGAAATCTAATCTCACTCTCTGCTTTAAAAAATCAAGCCTGGAGAATTCTTTGCAATAAATCTCTTGCTCACGGCTTGGGAAAATATATTATTTTTAGCGTTCATAATATTGGAAGCAGAGGGAGAGACTAATGGCCAATTTTTGCGGCAAGCGTCATGCTAAAACCAAGTCTTTGTTATCAGTGTAGCTATTGGAAAACATCAGATAGTGAAATACGTGTTACTCCGTTGGGGACAAAGAAAGTGTATGGTCAAATAAAATCCAACGCAAACAAAATCATATCTCTCAACACTTTTAGCGATGTTGAATTGCAGTATTTACGGTCGTTTTTGAAAAATATTTAGGGGAATTAAATTCCACAGCTTCTGTCGATTAAATCAATCTGCAAAAACAGAAAAAAGTTCATGACACGCGACTAATGCTTTCTTTGATTGTTTTTTTGTTGTAACTTAACTCGTCATTCAGTTCTGCAGCTGGTTTGTTATCATTCTCTCTCACGGGTAAAACTGTCACAATCTTTACACTGAGACTTTCTCACCAACTCCAGCAGGTGAAGTTATGTTTATCAGTTTCATGGCTTGGCGCCCAGAGTCAACGTCTCCAGTGCAGCAGCAAATTCCATCCATTGCCTTTCTGTAGTTTGCGCTCTGTGCAGCGTACAACAGCGGATTTATGAAAGAATTAAAAAATATTAATAACCGGACAATTCTGTGAGCGAGAAACAATTGTACGAAATCTTGCTTAATTTGAACGTCTGTGATCGCAGTAACATACATAAAGAAGCACGCAAACGGCAAACAGAGCGCGCAAAAAGCCGCTGCTAAAGAGACAAGAAGCTTTAAAAGTCTTTTCATACTGTTCTTTTCAGCTTCGTCTACCGCTGGGTCTGACAAATCCCACTTGAGCACTTTAAGAATCGAGAGATAACAAAATGAAATCAAAATGGAGGGAAATACGATCATGACGAGACAGTGAGCAATAATGTAGGCCTTAACAGTCGACTCGTGTTCCAGTGTCCATGGACGAGTGCATGGATACCTCGAGTTGGGATCCTTCTTGTACATTGTCCACAAACTGTCGGGGAAACTCAAGATGAATGACAGTATCCAAATCACGACTATGACCAACTTCGTGTTCTTAGACGAAATGTTCCAACTGCTACTTTTAAAAGGTTTGACAATTGCTACATATCGCTCCACGGCAATAACGCATAGAGTCAACACGGACGCGTCGAATGTGATGCAAACGACGGCATTTCCAGTAAAAAGTTTGCAGACGATGTCACCCAGTGTGGGGTTTATCCTCAAAGAGTTTAAAGCAAAGTCATAGATACCAGGACAAAGAAGTAATGTTAATAGATCGGCCACAGCTAAATTTAGCAGAAGATAATTTGTTGTCGTGCGCATCGAAGGCGTTTTGCGAACGATAGCTATCACCACGCCATTTCCTACCACGCCGAAAAACACCATGAACGAGTATAACGTGGCAAAAACGATGTCTTGTGAAGTTGTTTTTGAAGGTCCATGGGATCTATTTGAATAACTTTCATCCATCGTAAAAGAGACTGAAAAAGATCGGAAAATCACAAACCGCGTTCTTTGATGATCCACTGAGACTAAACGCTCCGAAGAATCACTTAAAACTACGAGAAAAAGCGGTCATTTGAAGAAAATTTCTTCGCCCCCTGTTCCGTCCTAGCGATGAATGAATAAACAGTTTTGAGCGAAGTCCTAAAGGACTAAAATGTTAATAGATGGCCGCAGTCGATGAGCCGGTGATTTCCATGACAGGTGTCCATAAAAACAATTAAGTAGCAAGGCAACATTAAAAATCAATAGTTACGCTTTTGTTCGGTGTTTTTTTATCCTGATGAGAGTTCGTGCGGCCGAACGCCCCGTGGAAAAAACGCGAGAGCATGAATATTTCCATTATTTGTATTACAAAATGAATCTCCTGATTAATTACAAGGCAATGAGCCAAAATCGTAGTCGTCGAAACCATCATTGTCAACCCAACAATTATTTTTTTGAGAGAGAAAGGAGTGTGAAAAGTCCATTAAAAAGTCAATTGGCCCTTTTTCATTCTTCCGACATCTTAGAACAAATTTCCGCCAAATAATCTGAAAAGTAATCAAAACTACAGGAAAGTATATTATCGAACTATTCAACGATTGCACTCTTCAGTGTGGCATTATTTAGTGCCACTGATAACACATGCGGACCTTGAGCCTTTGAGGTCCACTTTCAGGTATTTGAACAGCTTTTTGCCAGACAGAAAGGTGTTAAACAAACGTCGCTTAAAATAAGCATTTTCTTTCTGTAGCGGACCACCGGAAAACAAATTAAATAAATCCCTCAATTCCTGGTGAACATAGTTTGCCTTTTACTGAGTTGATTGGTTATGGAATTACAAACTCAAATGTTTTCTGTGCCAAACTACTTTAAAGAAATACAAATTATGTAAGTTTACTCGCACCTTTTGAATGCAAATTAGAAGGGTAACACGGTTGACTGGTAAGATAGATTAGTAAATTCGTGGAATATATTTTAGCAGTTTTTGCATTTAATTCTGGATAACCTTGAGTTCTAATCTTAACCAAAGCATGCGGTACTGTGATTCTCTTTTCTTCCAAAAGATTAGAGGCCCCACTTTTTTCCTATAGTGCTAGCGCTATCAGTTATCTATCTTGGATTTTGCAAAATGAATATGAAGATAAAATGATAGATCTTCTTTTTGATTACCAATGCGCGAAAATATCGCTATAACCTTCGTTAAATTGTTATTCCTGTCAGTATTTTGTTTCCTTAATGCGTTATCGACCCGCTTCATCTAGATCCACAGGGAAAGTAGTTTCGAAATTTCGATGCGCATTGTATTGTAGTTTTATTTGAAGTTTTAAAATGAACGAAATGAAGCTGCTTTCTCTCGATGACGTCTTCAAGATTCCAGTGCACGCTTTAATCCACATAAATTCGCCCAAACTCAAGTAAAAAGAAAAGAAATCTTGGAAGAATATTTTTTAAAACGTCTTTATTTGGCCTTTTTTATATTCAATCTTGACCCAGTTAACCCTTTAAACCCTTTACACATCAATATGCATATTCTCCATACTGTTCTTTATACATTTCCTATGGTGCTGACAAGGAGAATTGGCCAAACGATTCAGAGCTTCTGCAGTTGTTGATCATTTCCATTTTTGTCATGACCTTAGTTTGTGATTCAGGGGTGATATTGTAAGAAAAAATTAGATGCCAGACACTCTTGGGGGTTAAGAGGTTAAGCCAGCGTTTGCACGACGCTAACGCGTTATTGAGGCACAGCGCGTATTAAAAGAGTTGTGCAAATTTTTGTCATTTTCTTCAGGTTCATCTTTTTACTACCTATCATCCGAGACCCACGGGTGGTTGGTCAAAACGGCACGATTTTTCCCGCTGGTCCAGGTCCCATCCTGTCAGATTGACTTCTAGGTTGGCCAGAGAAACTTCCTTAAGAGAAGCCTTTACGAGTAGGATTCCTCTAATATTTTATTATTTTCTCTCGAAGGGTCCACGTAAAGTCGTCAGCATTAACAAATTTCGTTAATGATCAGTCTTGCTGCTATAAAAACAAAATTTTCAGCTCCATGACAAAGGGAGTCTGTCAAGGAATATTTTCCACCCTCATTGAAAGGTAAAAAATTTTTTAAGGAGGAAGCTGCTGGTATAGAAGATTTCGGATAATCTGATTTTCTTTGAATGAAAAATTCAGCTTCAGTCAAAAATCACTGTAGAGATTTAAAAGCACATTCTCGGGTCCGAGTTGTTTATAATTACGTAGGCTTCAACATATTCAGACTGTGAGTAAAGAACTTTGCCAATGCGAGCCCTTGTGTGCACGCAGATATGAGTTCAGTATCTTTTCTGATGCATGCATCTACGAGTTTACTCAAAATTTCTCGTGGAGGAACTTAAGGCTGGTTCAGTCACACGTACGACGCAAATGTAAACGACGTTCCCACGTCGAACGCAAAAGCAAGGAAGGTAAAAAACACAGATGCAGTGGAAGTATTATTGCAAGATGACGGGCGAGACTGTGACCTTTGTCACAGTCTGCATTTCATACTTTTCCCTTACAGACCGCTGAAGAGACGAAAAAATTGTCTCCAGAAGTCGAAGAGTAGCGCTAAGAGCGTGTGCGTTAGGCCAATCTTTCGATGAAGAGAACGTCAAGTAAATTTTCTTAATTCGTGAGTCACAACTTAGCAACTGAGAGTTTTACTTTGGCAAAGCAAGCACGCTTCAGCTCTTATAGGCATCATATTCAACTATGTAAGTCAACCTAACACATATGTCTTGCTGTATTATTATTAATGTGATTTGTTCGTAAGCAACGCACCGCTAACATTTATTTTCGCATACTGCCTCTGATTCGTCATAATTCGACGCAGCCATGGTGACGTGTGATTTCAATTCTTGGCTAATTTACTTACTCTACTGCAAATTGAGGTGCGAAGCAGCCGGTGTGCCACTTCAGTAATTCATTAAGGTGTCGTTTTCTTTTTAAATTTAGAGACATAAAACTTCAAAAAGAGAGAAAACAATCGTAAAAAAAAAAACAATCGGACAACAGTCCAAAAATTCGACTTGTGATCTCAACACGATTATTTTTGAAGGCAGTGCCGTGGCGCACGAAAACCCATAACTTGAAAGGCAAAAGAAATGGAAAGCAACATCACAAAAGAACATTCTCATCATCATCCGGCGGAGGCTTCCACCACAACTCAGGACGTTATTTTTGCAGTGTTGTACTCAATTATTGCCGTTCTGGGTGTAATCGGTAACGCTATGGTAATTACCATAGTGCGAAAAACGCCATCAATGCACACAACGACGAACTACCTCCTCCTGAACTTAGCCGTGGCCGATTTATTGACATTGCTCCTCTGTCCTGGTTCGTACGATTTCGCTCTGGCGCACGTTGACTTAGAAGGATTCATTGGGGATTTCATCTGCAAACTGTTTGCGGGAAATGCAATTGTTCCGATCACTATCAACGTCGCCGTTCTTACGGTTTGTACGATCGCAGTTGAAAGGTATCTAGCGCTTCTCAAACCTTTCCGCTCTAATCTAAGGATAGACAAAGATAAAGTGAAATATGTGATAGCAGTGCTGTGGTTGTTTGCCTTAATCTCGTGCATACCAGATATTCAAGCCAATACGTACGACATCTCGTCCACCAAATATCCTTGCACGCGTCCCTGGAGTCTAGATAGTTATTTCCTTCACAAACCTTTCATCATATTTACTTGTGTTGGGTTTGGAATCATAAGCTCCTTGACACTCTTCTTCTGTTATTTTTCAATCATCCGTGGAATATATTTCACAAAAACAGTTTTCTCGGAATCAACGGTAACGGAGGCTGAACGACAAGCAAAGAAACAACTCGCTCGCCTTCTTATCTGGTTGACATTTGTATTCGCTACCTGCTCTCTACCATTTGCAGTTTACTTCATGTTTCTTAGCTTCGTTAATGTCAAAACTATAAAGGAAAAGTACGACATGTTGTATTTATTTCACAGAATTTCCAGGTTTTTACTTTTCTCGAATTCGTTTTTAAATCCTTTATTGTATGCTCTACAAAGCTCAAATTTTCGAGATGGATTCAAATTAATTTTTAGTTTAAAACTCCTTCGCTGTAAGCTTTTAGCAAATAGGAGAAAGTCGGCAAAAAGCTCTAGCTCGACAGGCTTTGTCTTGAGTAAAGAAACAATTTTATTTAGGAATAAACCGGTGATTAAGACAGATGGTACAAAATGTTAAAATTGCTGTGTTCATTTGCGGTAAAACCGAGTCTCAAAAGATTTACAGCTTATTTGAAAACTGCGGAGGCCGGTAACAAGTAAAATAAATAAAAATGACAATTTTCGCGCGCTGTACAAATAGTTGTTAAATTAAATTTTACCCAAGTTATTACTAAACCTATGAAATATCAAGTAATTTGTATATCATTGACGACAACACTTCGTTACAGCTGAACTTTGAGGTAACTAAAATGAAGGGGTTTTAAAAAACCGCTCATCACAACCACATCACATCATTTCCTAATTTATTCCAAGGTGACTTCTTGACAATTCAAACACGAAAAGCTGGCTCTTCAATCCGGCTTTGAAGGTAAAGATGTTTCCAAACTGGGCGAGCTGACAAAGAAAAATTCATGTTTTTTTTCGTACATAATAGAAATGCAACGCTAGGTTGACCAAGAACCACGTAATCAAGTTTACCATTAGAGTATAATAAAATTTATGTTGCTGTCGTTATTTGTGTTGCCATCTGCAACGTCAATCGGTACGTTCTGAAAGGCGCAAAATAACATACTATATGTATGGATGGATTTTGGCCATGGAAGGCATTTCCAGAGAGATTCACAAACGGACAAAAAAGTTTTTGAAAAGTAGTAACTACGGAGAGAAATCGTTTAACTGGGCCCGAAGGGGCAAATATGATACAAGTTATGTTTACCCTACGATTCCTTTAGTAGAAGATATTGGTATTAAAAACAGCCAATGTATTAGCTG